GGGGGGAGGGGAGACAGTAAAAAGCAGTTTTCAAATTTTTGAATAAAAGTATTTCCAGATTATAAATAAGGTTTTCCTTGAATGTAATTTCATGTGTCATCTTCACATATGGCCACCAGTACTTCAGGTATTGTCTTCAGAGGAGGAGCGTAAAAAAATTGTGATTTTCTTTGCACTGAGAAGCCTCATATCCACAACATGGTGTATAGACAGCACTGGCAAACTCAACCCTATGTGACTCCAGTGAAGTGCATATAATGCTTTCATAATTAATGTGGTTGCAGCTGCAAACATGAGCTGAATTTGGTCTGACATCTGCTAGAAAACAGAGTCTTACCACAAACACTACTGTAGGTTTTCAGTAGAATCTCATTAATATTTCAGACCGTTAAAATTATTGTCAAGGAAAAATTCTCTGTATGACCTGTCAGGGCAATTTGGCCTTGGCTGTAAATAGAATAGATTTGAACTGAGTTATGAAGTAATCAACAGATAAAGATTTTCCCATGGGTCATTTGACTAATTAGGGCTATATGAAAAATTAACAATAAAATAGTGGCACAAGCATTGAAAGAATCCAAACGGAGCAACAACATAAAGTCTGTTGAGACGAGGCAGGAGTACAAAATGCTTTGAAGTGCCCCTTGCGCTGTATGGCTTCAGGCCTTGAGCCATACAGAAAGTAAAACATAATCCTGAAACCGTGACATTTAAAATACTCGGTTTATTAATCAAAAATGCACGATAATCTCCCTAGCTGCCATCTTTATTTTAGAGGGGAAGATTATGTGAACCTCAACTTTCCTTACGGATACCTGATTTTCAAAAAGTGTGGTATACTTGCCATCTGAAAATTCAGCCCTCAGAAACGGGGCTGCTCGGGCAGTCCGTATTGCATTGCTTTTGAAAATGTGAGCTGACGTGAATGCGATGTGTATGCCATTCCAGAAGACCACCTCTCCAGGTAGATCCTGAAAGAATATATACAGGCTAAATATGAAATTAATCATATAAATGAAGAAAGGGACTGGGGCTAGGGAAATAGCATTTTAAGCAAATAAAATGTGCTTCGTTCTGTAGAAAGTGTTGCGGGTCGTTTACCCGTGACGAGCTTATGCAGAGCTTTGCCTGTGGCCCGGGAGATGTCGTATGTTTAAACTCTGGGATTATGGACGTCCAGAGAATTTGCTGTTGCCGTTCTGTCCTAAACCAGCCACGATCTCGGTGAGAAGGTCCAACTGCTGCTCCCTAAGTAGAGATCTATGAACATGGAGCGCACCAATGATCTTTATAAAAGGAAAATGTTTAATATTCCTTCATTCTCAGTTAGGAAGTTTGAAAAGAGGAGGCTTGCTCTGAGTTAGGAGAACCGTGCAAAGTCAGCCAGTGTGTCTACTCCTTCTCCTTAAGCCCTTAGCGTAGAGAAAACGTGACCTTAACCTAGCGTGTTCCTCTCACCAATTTTTGTAAAGCCTTTGGCCGTACGAGTGGGTAAGGTGTTGTTTTCCACTCTTTCTCATGCTGGCAGTCGGATCAAGAGGAGGACGGAGATCTAAAGGCACAGGTACAGAAACAAAAGGCCCAGACGTTGCTCAAGTATCAATGTTGGAGGTGTTCACCTCTCTCAGCATGTTATTGTCAGTTCTCTGTGAAGAAATGTGTAGAAACAGCATTTTGTATCCTTTCAATACTGTGTCCCTTACCTTTCCCTTTCTTTTTCACTTCTTTCAGAATAGTCTGATTAAGCGAATACAGGGTGAAAATGTGTATGTCAAACATAGTAATCTTATGTTAGAGGTTGGTATTGGTATATACCAGTGCATGTACGTACATGTGTGTTAGTTTTAGTGGTAAACTGTGAATCTGCACTATGATGCATGAACTGTGTATTCCCTCCTGCTAATAAATCAAATAGATTTTTTTTTTCTCAGATTATGATGACTCCTCTAACTTGTACTATAAATACATATATGCGTGCGCGTATGTGTGTGTGCATCCACGCGCATATGTATGTTTGTTTGAAGCCTCTTTATCAGGTGTAAATTATAGTGATACAGATAAGCTCTTTATACTCACTTGTACGAGATATGCTATGCTGTTATCTTTCAAAATGCCACATTTTCACAGAGTGTTGTGTTAGTGCTGTGCTCCCCGGCTCCCTGAGATGTTACTTCCCTCTTTACTAACCAAGTTGTGTGTTTTGGCTCTAAAATTTACTTGGCTTAGGATGTATTACAAACTGCTCTATTCTTTTAAAACTGTCCAGGACCTAGACAAAACCCAGGAAGATCTGATGAAACATCAGACCAATATAAGCGAGCTGAAACGCACCTTCTTGGAAACCTCCACAGAAACGGCTGTGTCTAATGAGTGGGAGAAGAGGCTTTCCACATCTCCCGTTCGGCTTGCAGCAAGGCAGGAGGAAGCTCCTATGATTGAACCACTAGTGCCTGAAGAGGTCAGCGTGAGCTGAAAGGCTTCATTACGTATTTGTCTATTTGTTTTTGCTTATAATAGCTCTTAGTAGATCAGAGGCCGTAGTTAGAGGCCATTCCCCACCTGCAGAGCCTCCCTTTTCCTCAGCCCTCAGGCTCTAGCAGCAAACATGCAAGGAAGAGCAGATAACTTTATATATATACATAGTTAGAGTATGAGATTCACTGTAAGCCGCGTAGCAGAACTGGGTCTCTCTCAGGGTGTGAAACGCAGGCTTCCTTATACATTCGGTGAGCTTGAGGAAGTCCAGCCATGCGTGAAAGAAACCATGAGGGTGATGGAGAGAAAATTTAAATAATGGTGACTGGTTGGGAGCAGCAGTATAGCGGGACGGATGGGGGTACCGAGCTTGACAAGAAAATACAGACCAAAGGGCAGAACTCTCTCAGTCTTTGGAGGCGGGGAAGAAATAATGATGATAATTAGACCTGCTTGGCCAGTTCCGTAAGGGAACTGGTAGTTGCTGCAGTCTGCTGGATACTGTTTAGATGAAGACCCAATGCAGATGGCTAAGCGTGTGCATTTTCATGCTGTGTGCATGCGTGAAAAAATCTTGCTCACTGTGCAGTCTCAAAGTGTTTGCAAGAAACTTGCCAATTAAAAAGCTGCCTTTTATTTAGTTTGTGGGTAGATAATGAGTTGTAGAGGTAACAACGCAACATTCATGTTGCCGTAAAATACACAGATCTACAAAAAAAGCAGAGAATCTTGGTTTAAATCCAGTGGAGCAAAAAGAAATATACTTGTGTGGTCTGCACGAAGATTATTTTTTTTATTCTGTTGTGGATGGATATCTGGTTTCTGTCTCACAGGAATCATCTTTATGGCATTACAAACCAATAACTGGTCATAAAATTTGCTTCTGTCACGTCAGCACTGGTGTAATGTTGTAAGGAACTCTGCAAAAATTGGCTGGAAAGTATAGTTTGAAAGAGTCTTTTGCTTTCCCACCTTAGAGGTTGACATTGCAGACCCGCAGCTCTGGGGAAGGGAGTCCCTGGAGGCACCCAGATAACACGTGTCAACTCCTCCTCTTAGGGAAAGGGATGATGCCAAGAAAAAGACCCCAGCTCCTCTTCTCCCACATTATACCCACCTAACCGGTGGCTGATACAGACATCAGACATGCATTAGAGTGGCCATCAGGTTGTATTAAAATACCTAAAAAGCAGACTGGGTGCCCAAAGCTTACCTTTTGGAGAGAGTGCGGAGGAGTCTTAATGTTGCTCCTACTGCTTTGTTCAGGAATCATAGTAGATCCTACGACCATGTTAGTTTGGTTGTAGTTGAAAATACAGGTTTTCCTCCTTAAAAGTAAAATTTTAAGTATAAGAAACAGGACACATTTAACATATTAAAGATGTAAGGAACAGTTGAAAGGGAGCGGCTGGCTAGCTGAGCCTGAATCAGAGGAGTGCAGGTGAAGCAAACTTATAACCCCCCCCCAGTTCACTTAATGTCTTTATTACTTTAGAAATTTAATAACAATTTTCAATTAAAATGCACAAGGAGTAGCAAAGCATTACACAGTTACGTAGGCTTCATCCTGACGAAGCACCATTTACCATTCATTTGGAAAGGAGAAGGTACCTCTTCTTTTACTGGAAGAAAAGAACTTGCTCAAAAGCAATGTCCAGTTACTATATCTTATATGGATCTAAGTAGATGACAGCTGTCCCACAGAATCTCATCCAAATGAAGGCATTTCTGTGGAAAAATGTGAGTGGATTTGAGCTATCAGAGCCTAACTCTGAGGTGACTTCTGGCACTAAGGCACCCCTGCTGTAGATAAATCTGACCATCCTTTTTGGTCTTGCTAAGCGGGATGGTTTCAGTTCACATGTCCTGCTGAGAGAGGAATTTTTCAGGAAAAAAATGAAGCCATGCATGGGTCAAAATCAGCACCTTGATGTCTACTAAGAAATGCGGAGGCAGTCAAGATAAAGAGCACGTAGAACCCCGTTATGTAGTAGCTTCTTCTAGTTAAAGAAGTTGCACATTTAACTTAGCATATCCACTTTAAAGATGTATTCAGTGCTGTTACCTGCAGCTCTTTAATATAGTAAAACAAGAACAGAAGGGAAAATACGCCTTTTCAGAATGCGTGCTTTGAGCATTTGGCACCTGTGTGTGTTCGGTCAGTTTGACTTTAAGCCTGTCTGGCCACCAGTTGGTTTCTTACAACAATAGGGGAAATACTTTGTTTTTCTTTAGTTATGAAAAATACAGTTTTAAATATCTGCCATAACGGTGGCCAGATAGCTGCAGAACATGACAGCCACCATATTAACAAACTCCTTGACAATGTTTAGTCTGACCTGGATTGGATTAAACCAGCACTTTAGAAATAAAGAAGTTATGCATCTCATTATAGTCAGGGAGATGAGCCATTTCTCCCTTTCTCTCTCAACTTTCTAGAAGTTTTGTATCTTTCTTTAAACGTGTACCTTTCTTCTTGAGTATGTAGAGTATACGTGTTTAAAATGGTACACTAGGAACGGTACCTTAGGAAATTGAGTCTTACCAACATTTGAAACTGTGCCAGTTGGACAAGTTGCAGAGATACTCTTCTCGTTCTCACAGCATTGGGAGGGCACAGGTGCGAAATAGGTGAGGAGGGTTTTGGTGTCACGGTACAGAGGATAATACAGTGGCTAGGCGAAATAGGTGAGGAGGGTTTTGGTGTCAAGCTATAGAGGATAATACAGTGGCCACCTTCCTGCATGGGAACAAGACTCTGAGACCTCTTGTACCTGTAAGGAGAAAAGGAGAGCTGAAATCTTTGCAGCACACACCTTCTGCCTGCTTCAACAGGGAAGGCTGCAAACTCAGGAAAGAGCTAAATCCAGGGTGAAGGTGGAGGGGCCTGTTCTAGGCTATTGCTGGAAGCCATGGAAGTTGGCACCAGACACAGTTAAATGAATAATAGAAGATGAAATGAACACAGTGCATCCACACCCGGTGTTATTCAATTTACTGTTTTTCCTGCTACGCAAACAGCATGCTCGTGTCTGCTTTGCATTCGTCACAGAGAGAGACTGATTTCACTTCTTATTGGAAACTACTTTGCTGTGAAATTCTTCTGTTTAATTCTGTTTCCTAATTTACCATGCAGTTAATAATTTGTAGAGTGGAGAAATATGATGAGCTGTTGTAAAGTATAGTGGACTACATGCCCTCCATTTACTAAAACCATTTATTCCCCTGACATTAGACCAAAGAAGAAAGAGAAAAATCAGAAAAACTCATATTTTTGCAGAAGGGAGGTACTACATTCCTTGAATTGCAGGTAAAAACAAGTAATACTTTATTGAAATGCGGTCTGATAGGCTGGCAATAATTTCTTATTTTATTATCTTTTTTTCTTTCCAAGCCACTTTTTTTTATGTATTTATTTCGTAAGTTCCAGAGGGAGATGTAATTTGGGGGCCAAATTCTGAGGAATGAGTACCCGCCAGAGTTTATGGCTTCCTAATAGAGACTGATTTCTCTGCTAGTTAGAACTCTACTTGCACGGTGCTATTTGTGGATGTTGTTTGCAGTTGTGCATGCATTTCCAGCATAAACCTCACTGAGAACATTATGGTGAATGGGGCACTTCTGTCATTAGCATGAATTTCCTTTATACTGTGAAGTGAATTCAGATTATGCTGCGTGATGGTGAACTTTGTATTCTTATTGGTTTTTCTATTAGCCAAGTGTGATAGAGAAGAAGCTGCAGGAAGGAGAATCTGCTGGCACTTTGGTTACTACTCATCAAATCATTATCCAGAAAAGTATCCCATCATCCCTAGAGGTTATTTTTAATTCATTCGATTTTAAACTAGCACATTTGCTTAGTTAAATACAGAAGTTACGGTCGTAAGGTCAAATAACTGGATGCGGATTGCATAGCCAAAGCAAATCACATAGCATATTTGCAGAAAGAGGAAAAAAGATGCTGCATTAAGTTCAGTTCAGTATCTATAGTAGTATAGCGTTTACTGTGTTGTACTACTCAATTCAAACAATGCTGAAGGGGGTTGATGTTATTCTAATGGAAACAAGGAAATTCAGCACAGACTACAGCTACATATAAATGCATACTATTCTAAAACCTCATCAACAGTGTGTTTGTCACAACTGGGGAACAGTTGAATGGGCTTATTTGCTGTATTTTTGTAATTTGGTTTTGACTGTAGCATTATGAACCATTGCAATATGTGATTTTTAATCTCAGGATGATTCTATCATCATTTTAAATGATGCACTAAACCGCTACCCTGCTTCAAATTACTACAGAAATAGTGTGGCAGAAGTAACTTTTTGTGTCCGCATTATTCGGGCGTCTAAGGGGAGGGAATCTACAAAGGAATCATACTTTGCCTAAGGTGATGCTGTTTGTTTGTTTGATAACTGCTCTAAGAGGTGCAATGGTAAAAGTTACTATATGCTTTCAAAAGAGGCAGCATTGATTTCTTAAAAGTCTTCATGCTTTAGTGCTCCTGAAGTAGAGATAAACCTTCAGATATTCTAATTTAGCTTTTATATCTCAAATATAGGGCACTGAGGATTGGGTTATTATAGACAAAATACCCTCTGAGGTAGTTGATGGTGAATCGAAAAAAAATCTGGCATACAAAGTAGTGACTGTGAGCAGTAAAACTGCCTTTCCACCTGAGATATTAAAATCCAGTACCGTTCTAATGCAGAGCTTTGAGGACTTGGAAAGTGAAATACAATCCAAAGAGGAGAATAAGCAGAAAATGTTCACCCTAGGAAAGTCCTATGATACCGTATCCGGGAAAATTGTAACCATGACAAGTAAAGCTAAAGAGGGTGAGAAAGCAGTACAGCCTTCAGTAGAAGCTTTGCAGAAAATGGAAAGGGAAGTGCAAGAATTTGTGAAAATCATTCCAGTAGTGGCCGAGTATGAAATCCTCGAGCCTGTCACTGATGAGAAAGCCAGGCGGGGATCCGACGTGCAGAGCACGAAAAGAAAGCTGTCCGACTCTCTGACACCCATAAAGGAAGCAGAATCTCAGATGCAAAGTCCTGAAGAGGAGAGTTTGAAAAAGACACTAAAGATGGACCAGGATTTGCAGTTACATGGTACACTGGGAAGCTCGCAGCTTGACAAAGCAGAAAAACACCTTGGCAGTGAAGCTGTAAAAGCAGGGGCATTTGCCCGGAGAGATAAGAGCCTGTCTGAGTGGAGATATTCCAGAGAACAGCCATTTACCATTGCTACTGCTCACTATCTTACTGAGTCGTCTGCATCAAAAGTAGTGGTAACAAGTGGCTTTGACTTCATGCCACGGTTTAAAGATTAAAGCATGACTTCTTTTAGGCAATCCCCTCACACCACCCTGCCTTTCGGTTCTCTTGCTGCCTGGCTTTATGTTGACAAGCCAACCCAGCTTATTTTTTTCCCCTCATACTTTGAATCTGTCCCGCAGTCTGAAGCAGACATTATATAAGGCTTTCAACCTTTCTGGTTTATTTAAAGATCCATGTTACTGAAATGTAGTATTGCTGCTGTGGCTTGTTAATAAAAGGGAAAAAAAGGTTTGCTTGAACCAGCAAAACGCCAACACTAACAACTATGCTTCGTAACTATTGCTCACTACAGCCATTACGAATTTGCTCTGATTTATTTTCCCATTCTTTTCCCGTTTCCAACCTCTCTGTGCCCCTGCAACCTTCTCTCCCTTCCCTCCGTCTCTGCCTCTGGTTTTGGCAATTAATATGTCTGTGCATGTGGGTCTGCCTTTCTTCTGTGTATGACTCTACATTTCTTTGTCTATTTAGACTAAACAGTCCAGCGGTGAAAAAACCTTGGATGGTTCAGATATCTTCAGTTTAATAGAGTCCGCCAGAAAACCGACTGAGTTCATAGGAGGGGTTACTTCTACTTCACATAGCTGGGCTCAGGTGGCCGTTCGATTCCCTCCATCAACGTTATAACCGCACACCGATTACTTTTGCTTTTCTTTTGTTTCCTGTTTTTATGCATAATGCAGAACCTGCATAACTAATGCATGTATTGGTGTGCCTTTTCCTTTGTTACAGTAGACCACAATAGAAACTTCACCGAAAAGAAAAAGAAAAAAAAAAAAAGGTTTTGTCTCATTTCACGTTATTTTGGTCGTTTTGCAGGGTGCTGTGTTTTGCCTTTATAAAACTCACGCAAAAATACCAATGAGAAAAACACTGTGGCATTTCTCTTCACTTTTAAAAATGGCGATTCTTGCTTTGTTTTCATTTCTACTATTCTGATAATGTCCTGAGAGCGAAAACCCATACAACGTGAGAGAAATAAATTGGCAAAATGTAATACCCGTGTTTTTTTTATTTATGTTCACAGTACATTAAGCTGAGGAGCTATTGCAAGTAGTGTTGTCTGCTTCTGACACTGAGGGTTTTTTCCTCCTTCCCTGCAGAGAATAGACACGTCGACGTCTCAGGAGATAACTTCCAGTGACATGAAGCAAGCAGTTCAGCCGCATCAGGGTACAGTGAAGAAGGTTGTACAGGAGACTGTGGTTATCGAGGAGAGACACGGGATGAATGCGCACGCGAGCGGGGATCCTGCCAAAGCGGCCGGACTTGCGCTGGATGCCCAGGCCGGGGCAGCGTCGGCGGTGGCTGCTGGCCTGAAAGGGAAGGAGGGCTCTGCTGGGACTGAGGGGGCGAAGGAGGAGAGAAGGGAGGAGGCTGGGAAAGCCCTAACCGCACAGGAAGGAGTCGCTGCTGCTGCTGCTGCTTCGTCTGAGCAGGCGGAGGAGCACAGTACAACAGTCCACCTTTCGGAGTCTTTGGAAAGAAAACCTCATTTTGAGGTAACTCGTTATTAAATCGGTCATGTCTGTGCTGAATTGTAAAGGTAGGCAGTAGTGGACTGAGTTAATTCCTCTCGTGGAAAGCAAAGTGGACCTTTGGTTGCTACAGCAGGCAGTTTGTTTCTCCTCTTATTTCCTCCTTGCATGGCACCTGCAAGGCTTGCTGCTGGTTCCCAGTATTGGCAAATGCCATGCATATTTTCCCTAAGAGCTCTTTCCACGCTACAGAGAAATACCTGATTTGGTGGCTTTTTCTGCAACGGATAACAGGAATTCAGCTGGCATTCTCTTTGGGAAAGTCCATCAAGATTGGAAAAGTTCACGTGTCCTCAAAGACAGAAAGTGCCTTTTTTTCCATGCTTGGTACAATTGTAAATAAGTGTACTGTGTCTTAAACAACCCAAGCTCCTCATCTTAGCTCCATAAGCAAAACTTCAAGGATTATTTTGCAGAGAGGTTAGAAAAAAACTTGCTCTTTTTTCCGAGAGCTGAATGGAAGACTAAGCCTGAGTAGGATTCATTCTCTTGTCATTTTAAGAAAATGTATAATCCCAGAATGGCTGAGGTTGGAAGGGACCTCTGGAGGTCATCTGGTCCAACGCCCCTGCTCAAGCAGGGTCACCCAGAGCCAGTTGCCCAGGGCTGTGTCCAGACAGCTTTTGAGTATCTCCAAGGTTGGAGACTCCACAGCCGCCCTGGGCAACCTGTGCCAGTGCTCGGTCACCCTCAGTGAAAAAGTGTTTCCTGATGTTCAGAGGGAACCTCCTGTGTTTCAATTTGTGCCCATTGCCTCTTGTAGTGTTTACATCTTTTCTGAAGTTTGTTTTCATGAAATCCAGGATAGTGCTAAATGTTGCCAGCATTATATACGTGTATGTACCATTATAATGAAGAGAATTTTCTCTTTTCTTTTTTTTTAAATGCAGAGCACTTTTTAGTTGTTCCCCCTCCTTTTCGCAAGAAAAAAAAATATTCTGAGAAATCCAGAAGCTTTCCTAAATGTTCCAATTCCTTTTTTTTTGTTCACGCAGTCGCCAGTTGTGAAAACTGAGACTATCAGTTTCAGTAGCGTTTCTGCTGATGGGGAAAATCTTGAAATTTCAACAAAGGAAGTGCCAGTAGTCCATACAGAAACAAAAACCATTACGTATGAGTCTTCTCAGGTAAGAAATTCTGCAAAACCCAGTGTCTAATTTAACATGGCCTTAAGGAACCCATGTGTCTTTACCCATGTTTAAGTGTATGCCTTAGCATAAACTGTTCTAAGCTGTGCAAGTATTAAATATTAGCATGAGGCGGATGTACATACATTTAGCTTACCTGAGGGTGACTCTCATGTCCTGGCATAGGGCCTTTCGAGAAAATTAATGAAACTACAGATTTCAAAGCCCCAGCTTCTCATCTGTCCTTCCAGAAGCGAAGGGGAGTCTCCAGATGCAGAGAAATACTGACACATGATCAACCTAATAGCAGTCGTTTCCCTACCATTAGATACTCCCTTTATGAAGAACTGTAGAAGTAGAGAAGTTCAGCCAGTCCAGTTCTTGCCTCCCTGTGCTCAAGAGCACGTTTTTTATGACTGATTTTCCCTTTCGGTTCCCTAGGTGGATTGCAGTGCTGACTCAGAACCGGGTGTATTGATGAGTGCACAAACTATCACGTCTGAAACCACCAGCACTACAACCACTACACATATCACCAAAGTGAGTCCTCAGAAAACAGGAAGCTTTTTCTTTCACAAGGGTGTATGTTTTCTTAGCTTCAATTCTATTGTTTATCTTAAAACGTGGACACATGCTTATAGTCTCTGGACAAAATCCAGTCTGGTTTGGGTACCTGTCTTCATTCACCTGTCTTTGGCTATACTGGCTTCATTAACGCATCATCCAAGGACTTGACAAGAGTCCCGAGAGTCATAAACCCTTAGGTTATGTCTATGCAAGCACGAAACGTTGCTGTGCAGGGATTCTTGAGTTAGCTGCAAATACTGTCAGGAACTGGAAGCAGTGTAGCCACGTTGGCATCATATGGTAGCCAGGAAGGAATAATTTGCCTGACCATGAGGCTCCATTGACATGACTATACTGCCTTTGAGTCCTGAGCTGTTATCCCTGCACGGCGTTGAAAGCACATAGTAAATCTGCATTGTGTAGTCATAACAGGACAAGCAGTCGGCTCAGACGCCGCGGTTGCATTGCTGGGTGGTGCCCTAAGGAACTTGCCCACAGCCAGACAGAAAGCTTATGGCTGCACAGACAAATGATGTTGGGTCTTCCAAGTTCCAAGATAGCATCTAAGTAACAGTTCCTCCCTAAACAGAAACCCTCTTAGTGCCATGACAGCTCTCCTACCAATATTCATTGAGGACAGGATTTCATCTCTCTGCAGTGAAATTCACCCTTCAGTAGATGAGCTATACAAAGGCCATACCACCCTGTATGTCCTTCTGAAGCCTACAGTGGGACTTAACGAGGTCTTAATATGAGCTGTCTGTATGTCCATTCTTTTCTTCATGGCATGAATTTACCATGAATACCTGCCATTTTTGACATACAAACATCTCTTCTGACACGTGTGCAGACTGATGAGAATCATAAAATTATCTGTGTTGGAAGGACCTCTGGAGGTCATCTAGTCCATTCAGAGCAGGCCAACTTCAGAGCTGCTCTGGTTGCAGTTCAGGTTGTTCCCTCTGTGTGCGCTGTTTGAGATAGTTCAGTCCAGTCACGTCTGGGTTCCTGCACTGATCATTCTTCGGATGAGCAGCAGCAGTCTTTAAAGTAAGTTACTGACATGCATTTGTCCCTCCCGTCTAGACTGTGAAAGGAGGCATCTCGGAGACAAGAATTGAAAAACGAATAGTCATCACAGGAGATGCAGATATCGATCATGATCAGGTAAAATCTATAAGCTGCTAAAGGCTACCCTGAGGACTGCCAAAAAGAACATTTCTAAACATTGCTTTAAAAGATACTATTCATACTGGCATGCCTTAAATTAAACTGGATTAGTACTTAAATCAGTGATGGTGTATTTCATATTTTAATCATTTTCCTCATTTGTAAATTGTGTAATATCTCATGAATCTCTCCACCTTGCTACTGATCACGCATGTTCCACCTCCTTTTTGTTTTTGCCCTTCTGTGGTTTCCTTGGGATAGGCGCTGGCTCAGGCAATTAAAGAAGCCAAAGAGCAGCACCCTGACATGTCAGTGACCAAAGTAGTGGTACATAAAGAGACAGAAATCACACCAGAAGATGGGGAGGATTGACCACAGGTAAGAGGACTAGATGATTTTCCTAGGCATTTACTGGGCTGGCATGTTGCAAAGGTTGTTTTCCTACCATAATTCACCTCTAACTCTTTGCTTTCTCTCACTGGCATTTGCAAGTTGCATTTGTGCTGGTTATCAGTTCTGGTATTTGAATGTAAACCACATTCAGCTCTAAACGTCTTTCTTCATTTAATGGTGCCAGCTGGAGAAAGAGAAACTACTCATTTGCTTTTGTTGGCTCTCTGGAAAGTCCTCATTGTCCATGCTTTGATATAGTCTGATTTTCTAATTCTGAAGTCAAAAAAATCAGTTGTCTGCTTTTATTATGTCATTTAAGAACAAAAATAATTTGTTCTTAAAGGTATGCATTTTGTTTAAAAATGCCAAGGGAAAAACCTACAGCTGCTTTTTAAATGTCCCGTGCAGATATGTTACAAGTTAAGCTTTAATTCCTAACTTGCAAAGATATGGTCTAACTTGCTTTTGATTTTTCTTTTAAACCCAGTGAATCAGTGTGTCGGTATTTGGATGTCTTGTCTTTCTTGTATTTGAAAGAACATTTTATGTTTTAAAGCAGCATTGTTTATCAGGATGAGATGATAATGCAGCTTTTCTTGTGTCAAGCTTTTTTTCAGTAAAGGCATGCTCTCTAATTGTGGCTGGCTAAACAGACGTCTTAATATTACTATATTTATTCTGTGTGCAAAAACGTGTCATGCATACTAACCTGCTATGCAAAAGCCGTTAATGCCAGCACCATTGCACAAATTGCTTTGAATGCTGTATGCAGAAGGGAAAAAAAAAGCTGCTTGTCTGATTTGTTTAAATCGACAGCAGCGTTTTATTCTTGAAACTATATATATTCCCTAGCACTTGGTGTAAGTAACAGAGTATGATGCACAGCACCGTTTGAAGCTGTTTTGTTCTCCTGCTTTTGGATATGGAGACCCTAAAGAAAACTGAATTTCAGTATCTGTTTTTTATTTGGAAGGTGGAACCAGTCACTGAGGAGTGAGTAGCTGTGATTCTTGTGGTATTCTGCTAGGTCTCTCAGAGACAACATAATGTGGCCTGTCTATTGATGTCACTAATTCTTCCCATTGGCGTCAGTGGATTTTGGATTTGGGCCAAGTTGCTTATACTGGGAGGATGCCGTTTTCAAATAGCTTTTTGTTACGCGAACAAATTGACAAAATCTCTTTTGCAAGAGAGTAGTTGCTTCAAATAATTAACTGGGTTCTCTTTCCTGCAGGAATAACCTAGATTGCATACGAATCCAGACATGCACACCAGTAGGAATACGAGAGCCTATACGGAGTCTCAGTTCCAACCTGACTGACTTGTATCTGTCTATGGAAAATTTCAGTACGGAAGAATTGATCTTGACCGTTAATAAAGAAACTGGCAGAGATACCTTCCCATAGAAAGCAATCTGAATCAGCAGCAGTTAAACAATATTGCATGAAGCAACGATAAAATTACAGAAAAGCAGCATTTTTAATTTTCTTAAAATGTCTAAGTTTTCAGCTATACCTGCACGTTCATAAACAATATAAACAGTGATCTCATGTAACACATAAACAGTTCATGCCTTTCACAGTTTATGAAGGTCTAAACAAATTAAAATTTGTTAGGTGGCAAGCCTTTTGTTTACAGATATTGTAAATGAAGATTACCCCCAAAATGCTAGAAGCTGTATAGGTACTGTGTATAATGTTTTACCACACATTAGATGTGCCAATAACACAGTTTATTCAGTAAACAACTTGAATCTTATATTTGTTTCATCTGGTTTTATTACTGCCCGATAAACAATGACGAATCTTTACTCTTATCAAAATATTTAAATGCTTACAAAGTGTGCTTTGTATACCTGACTGAATACCTTATGAGGTAGTAATGATTTTAGTATATTAACTTTAATGATTTTTGTCAGCATTGTTCAGAGTCAGCTTCCAGTCACCCTTCACAGATCCTAACCTTGTAAATTATATGTAGTTATTTTGGAGGAGAAAAATCTGTATTTTACTTAGTTTGCAGCATTAGAATATTATTAATCTGAAATAACCGTGATGGTTTTCTATTGATTTCCCTTTTGTTCTCAGAGGAAAAAAAGAAAAAAAAAATCTGTTTGAGAATCTGGTCAGCATTTACTATCTAGTTCAGAGTCAAGCCTTAACCTGTACAGAACGTCCACTGAAAACTCGTTAGTGTCCAGCTATAATACCCACTGAAGGGATAGCGTCCATTACACTGTCAGCTGCATCACAACACATGGTGAATGTATGTTTCTGCATAGTGAAATAAAAGTGGTAAATGCATCCAAAATCGTATTGTTCTGTGTCTAAAAGCACCCAGTGTTTTTTAATATTCAAAACGTTAAGTTACGTTTGTAAGACACCACAGGTTTTACTCATCTGCACAGTAGACACGTTTTGTCCTCAGCGGCTGACACTGCACTGTGCAGACAGTTGGAGTTAGCGGAGCATCCAAAGGGATGACAGTGTTCGCCTTTGGGCACACGATGTTTGCAAAGGAAAAGGAGTATTTGGCTCCTTCTGTTTTCTCTGGTTGTGTACCGTTCCACTGAAGCTAAATGAAGGATTTTGTGGTTGCTTAGGAAGTAAAGGCCAGTAGCGCTTGACCCAGATCCACTCTCTTTTTGTACTTTTGCTCTGAAACACGGATAAAATTCTCTTTAAAGCAGTACTTACTTATCTGTTCCTTTTTCTTGCTCCTTTGCCACATCTCGTTGACGCTCCCCTGGTAACATTTAAAATTCGTAAATTCGTAACAATTAATTCACCCTTCAATCTGTATTTCCTTGCAGGATTGAAAGAAGTGGGTATAAGCAGACTTTTCAGGACATAAAGGGCCAAATTTGCCCTTCGTTGTTTACACGGGGCTCCCTCACATTGAAGTCAATGGATTTGGCTTCAGTGGAGAGCAGGATTTGACCCAGTGACTTGTTAATAAATGTTTATTTTCTTAATTTAGAAAGAAAAACAGTATATATAGAGAGAATAACCTGTAGATAATAATTAAAAGTAATATCCCAAGGCTTTTAAAGCTTTGCCCTTAGTCTCTGAAACGTCTTCCTTCCACCAGCCATTCTTCATGCCTTTAATCCAGAGTGCTAACTATGTAACTCCCCCTGCCGCCGTCATTGCTTACCTCTCGCCTGACCACCGACGCAAAGGTTACGGTCTGTCGTGATCTTTGGTTGACCTCTCCTCCTCCTAGTCCAAGAGCATCTGTGTTCTCAGCCCTCTCGGTGGCGGTAGGCTCAGCTCTCTGGTGCTGCCAGCGCCCGGCGGCAGGAGGAGGTGGAGGAGGTGCTCGCCCTGTGTCTCAGCAGACGGCGTGCCAGGTTCTCGCTACTGCATCAAGGAGTTTAAAAAGAGACTCTGAAGCCATATTGATCTTCCCTCAGGTGCCCCTCATGTTGTCAGCTAAGAAACAGCGTTGTATTACCTCAGAGAGACGCGAGGCGATTGCACAGCCTTCTCTCCAGAGTTAGCGTTATATTTTAGCATGGCTTGAGGAGATTGTACTTTGGTGATGCTGCACAGTATGTACGCTGCCTAAAGATATTGTATCGTAAGAAGTTAGTCTCCTTGGAAAGGACGCTCACGGCTAAGATACGGCCTAAGTGTACGCAAACTGTGAGGAGATGAGAGTGGACAGGCAAGGACATCTCAGTGCCACTGTTGGCAGTAGACCCTTGTTTGGGGGATGGTTCCTGGAAGTGGTAGCTTTGGTTTTTGTTAGAAACTGTTTCTTGGGTTGTCTGCCTAATGCTGTGCCACATGAAATAAAGAACACCTGCCTGTTTCTACCAACCATCTTTTGTCTCCGACTCTTCTCATTTATTGTTGGTCTTTGTCCGGCTTCTCGACGTAAAACAGCTTGGAAAACAAACCATCAAATACCGCGTTACTTGAAAGCACCGTTACCAACACAGACACCAGTACAGGAGACAGCCTCACTTGTTACAGCTGGAGTCACAGCGTCAGCCCCGTGAGAACTGGCTGCTCTGCACCATTGAGGTGAGGGACCAGGATGGCCAGGCAGGGCTTTGCACACCAGGCGAGAATGGGCATAGCCAGCAATCTGTGACCATTACAGGTACAGAAAGAAAGAGTACACTGCCTCGGCATTTTTAAGGCTGTTTGGAATCACTTAACGTTTATCCCTTCGAAGTGTTTTAAGGCTGTCCCATCACAAATGGCGAGTAATGGTGTCCTGTGCTCAAGCATATAAAAAAAATTTTAATGGGCCTCTAAATCCAGATATTAGATCAAAGCAAGGGTTTAACAGCTTAGTCTTACTTCTTCCCAGAGCAGATATAGGCAGCTGGTGAGATGATGTGGCTCACCTGTACAACAATTTGTATCTGCTGAAATTACAGTTCCTTGTAAATAGTTCTTTGTGGCAAATAAATTGGACATTGAGTCCAGGCTTCCATTTGGCAAACACCCTGGCAAATCTTGCTGCAGGTTTCTTGCCTTAACCCAAAGTAGTTCTGTCAGTCAAGATCACAAGGCCCATTTATAAGCTTCACCTTTACATCTTCTCTCTTCACCGGTAGTAAGGGTGAGGTAACGAAATGTGTTCCTGTTCCCCTTTTTTATACAGGAGCAATAATGGTCCAGGTTCTGCAGAGCTAGGAATTAAACCTTAATTTTTAATCATTTTCCCTAGTCTAGTCTATTAAAAGTTTGTGACGTGCCTGAGGCAATGCTGAGATACATTGCATGATTTTTTTTTTTTAGTGTTTGCTGAACACACCAGCAGCACATACTATATACTCTTAACTGTATCGCCCAAACAAAATCCTGTTCAATCAACCACATGTTAGATCAAACTGGCTGGCATCATTTTTGTATTGTTAGTTACCATACAGTCAGGGACCCTACACAAAAAACTATCTCAAATGAACAAAGTTCAAACTAACACCAAAGGAAACCGCATTTTCATTGACTTTAGCTATTGCAAAGCATTAAGAAGAAAAGTGTGTTTCAAGGTACATATGTCCCAAACTACAGTTCACTGTTTTGAAAATTGATCTCAGCTCTTCTATATTGTTAATTTTAAGGAAAATCCTTAATTGGGCAATTTTCCATTAAGGAAAATCCTTAATTGGGCAATTTCCCATTCCCAAGTCTTAGATCCACTTTCTCCTGAAGTACATAAAAAAGTAACACTCAGCTAATGAGAGGAGATCAAAAACAACTGCTAGATTCTCTTCTTGCCCTTCCCCTCCATTACATAAAGAAGCAGATACTTTTCAGGAGTTTGCTGTTGGTACGGAATTTCTTTTGCTCCTGAAACCCACTATCTCTAGTTACAGGCTTCCAGTGTTGATGTTTTCTATGGCTATGTGCTAACGAAGTGACACCAAACAAACTCTCCATCAAGTGGAGTAAGACCAAAGTCCTCTCAAACAGGATCTGGGGCTGGATGAACATGAAGAAATGCTTTCTATGACAACAGGACCTGAACTGGACCTCCTGAAGTCCTGTATAGATCCCAAGGTATAGTGGTGGTTTGAGGTACTAGGGATGGACTATGAGGTGACTATGGGTGGACTAATGGGTGACTATGGGAAATGCTTACTCCATTGCACATGTTTTTTTTAAAGAAAGAGGAAATGAAGCGTTTTTCTTAAATCTATAGATTCCAGAGGCTGTATCAGCCTTACACTGCAAATTATGATTTGCAGTGTCTTTTGTCCTTAGTGTTATGCCACATCAGCAAAGAGGTCGTCCGTAGTTGCTCTGGGTTCCCTCAGAGCAACACAAAATTCCAGCCTTCCTAATAAAAACTTGGTCATACACTTAAAAAGACTGTTATTAGTTATGCATCTTTTAGTTCTGTCTCAAATAGGGATTTAGGTTTAAATAAACAATGAGGTATATTGCTGGTAGTTTTTATATAAAAATGTTTTCCACAAATTCCTGTATTCATTAACTGAAAACAGATCATTCTGTTATCTTGGATGTACTGTTAGCCCATGTTCACACTGTCAATTACTCTGGTTTATGCCATTTGATTCCTCCTCCACCCTTTTTTCTCTCTCCCATTCAACATCAGTCCTGCTTCTCAGCTAGAACTAATGGCTGCTGTAAAGACTCTTGGGAGCAGAATTTCCAAACCCCTTGTTTAAAGGAAAACCAATATGCTCACATTAGGCAAAAATCTCAGTCAACTCTCTTCCTTCATGTCATGCTCCTAAATGCAGCTATAACCTCCATAAATCAATGACCTCACTCTTGCAGCTGAAATGACCATCACTCACTGTAAGTAGGATTAATAGCCTGTCTTTGAGAATGATGACAGTGACGTAGAGGGAAAAAGAGAAAAAAAGAGTACTGACACTAGAAATTATTTTCATTTTTAAACACATTAGACTCTTATCTGTACAGTCTACCAGCTCTGTTTTCTCCAGTGCAGAACTTAAATAAGAACCTTTTATTCTTGTTTCTTTTTGTCCAGAGTTTACTAGGAATTTCTTTTTCATTTTCTAGAAGTGTCTTTGCTGTCTGTTTCTGTGGCGAGGTATACCATGACTCTTAACTTCTGCGCACAACCAAAGCTCGGGCAATGACGTCAACTAATCTGAACTGCAGACCGCAGATCCCGGAACGTGTTGGAGCTTTGGAGCTGCCTGAATTGCAACCCGGAGCAGCGTGTTTCCACACGAGTCCTGCCTTACAGTGCACATGTTGCTTTTAAGTGCTGGGCATGTGTTCTTTGGTGGATAATCCTGGGTGACTGTAGTGTAAAAGATACAAGATTAGACCAAGCACATTAAAGGGCTCAGGGCAGGGCGTACCATAAATCATACAACAGAGAAATGAAAAAAATGAAAGCAATATATCTGAAAGTACAAAAGCAAATCATTAAGAAACCTTCAAAGCCTCTTCCAGTGGGAAGAGTCCAGCTAATATGATGCTCACCCTTTCCTTAAATCAAGAGTGCTACTAGCACAGATGTCCTTCCTCGATGGATTTACGAGGTTGTTTCTCAGACATGCTGGTTTTCTGGCCAAACTCAGTTGATGGATTTGGCATATGAAGGCTTCTAAAGACATTTATATTCCTTTAGTCCAA